ATCTTTTGAAAACCTAACCAAATATAGAAAATTGTCCGTGCCTATGGTCACAGAAAGCTGTTTGTGTTGACTCTCTGAGGCCGCAGATGAATTTAAAAGTGGATTTCATGTTTTCTCCCTCGGCTCCGAGCTCATTAGGAAACGATTCAGTGAGACTATAACCGAGGGAGCAGGTCTCTCTGCTTTAAAATAATAATTGAGAATTTTGAGGCAAACTCGGAGCCTTCGTTGCTTTGTTTATCCATAATCTGCACAGGCTTTGCCCACAAGTCTCTAATTAGGCTGCTGTCCTTTTGCCTCATATACAGAGTATTTTGAGTTTTTACTCACCAATTTTTTTTGGTTTCTATATATTATTGCATCGTGTGTGCCTGCGCCTTTTACATTTGCAGCTGAACTCTTTCCGTCCTGAGCAGGTTTTTATTTTATCTCCTTGCTGCTGCACCTTCAAGTCAAACAAAACAGGGCACGCGTCGTTTCACCATCCACTTTAAGAGGAGCGAAGAACAGAAAGTAGGCTGCACATGTGAAATTTAGGTTACATCGTCCTTTGAGTCATCAGCACCTGGGCAGCCACAGCAGCAGTCCTATTGCCAGGGTGACTTGTGGGTGCGACAGCTGTGTTACTCTGCAGCTGAACTCAAACCAGGAATGAGGGGGAAAATACCTGCACACATACAACACAGCAGAGTGGCAAGTGTTTGCATTAAAGGGCTACTTCACACAAAATTGACCCTGACAACCCCTCGTAGCTCAGTCTAAAACTTAACGTGACTTTAGCTCACGGATGAAAACGAAAGAAGCGATAAGAGAGCTAAAAAACAAACAGGTGTCATTTTCAAGAACAACTCTGTAGTATCCTGTTGACCCATATAACGGGACACACAATAACGTTGCATGATCGGGGCTTTCTGAATGCAGACAAAAGTGTATGTGTGTGTATGTGTGAGTCTGTGAGCGAGAGAGAGAGAAAGGTTATGGGTGTATTTGATGGTAACAGTAGCCAGCTGCATGTCTGCTCTCTCTAGGTGGGTATTGGGTTTAAACAGACATTTATTTTGCAGCCCAACTATCCCACTGCAGTGAACTAAAAATCCTCTTTGTGTGCCGAACAGCAGACAAAATATATTCACTGAAATTTGCACACACACTGTATACAACATACATTGGCTGGACATAGTT